TGTATGTCTTGTTGCAGTAACTTGATTTGTCTACCTTTACACCTTTTGTAAACTACTCCTATCTCAACGAATCTTGCACGTCGGGATAGACAATATTCAGGTATGTCTTTTTTTTCATTTAAATATAAGAATATTAAAACTGATACTATTTTAACTAGTACACTATTATTTGATGTTTATTCTTTCATAGACTGATCTTGAATATGACGTCATAAGAAAATCATGTTTCTTTGAACCGCTATTTCATTCAAATACCTAACTACTCAACGGTGCTCATTAAGGATCTCACCTGGGATCGAACCCGGGATCTTTGTGCTTCATAATGAATGTTTTACCGTTCGACTTCAGTTCTTTATGTATCCATTGAATTCTCATTTTTAACGAAATAACGTGCATTTGGTAAATTAAAACGTGTTACTTTCCCTCTAATAGGCTAAGTAAATCTAGAATACATTGATTATATAGAGATAATCGGATATTGTTGTATAATTTAATCAAATGTTTTCAAGTCGTTTTTGTTTTCTTCTTTCATTCAATCAGATCATCCAATATATCAACGGCTAAGAAGTTCTACATTAGGACGAAAAAGCAATCCACTACTTCAAAATCTTCTATGATTATAATAAGAGAGGAGTTTTATGGATATTATACTAAGTTAACACTTAAATACATGAGTCAATTAAGCTAGACAAGTATGGAAAACCTGGAAGCACTGAATGGTCATTTCGTCCTATTTTGGGGTCCCTCAGCAGTTCACATCCACGATCTCATCTCGTGAGATTTGAATTCAGGACCTATTGGTCTTGCGTTCGAACGCTTAACATCTACACCACTGAACCGGCATCCGACAGTGTTAATGTCTAATTTCAAGCAATCCACGAAAGTGCGCCACCGTCCACCACTGTTACTACCTCACAACAGACACGGTTGAACTCCACTAATCACTACTTCTCACTAGAACTCCAGGAAATATCTCTCAGAGATCATCATTAATGACCACATTATGTTTATAATCAGAGAGGTGTTTTGTTGATATTACACTGATTGTTATTGGTTGAATTCATGAGTCGATTATCTTCTTACTTCTATCGATTCATGATCATAATAATATTTAACCAATGTCTGATACTATCTCCTTTTGAATATGATTACCTAATACCATTCATTTTCTTTTCATACTACTATTATTATGTTGTAAACTAAATTTTTTTTAAAAATGTTTGACTATGGATCATTTTATTCACTTGAGAAATTACCAATAGTTTACAATTTCTATGTAATAAACTTATTTATATCTGATTACATAACATAATACATTGCTGATGGTATATAATTACAAATTCATTTCGGAAATAGTCAATAATGTTTTGATGGAGTTTTGTTCTCTAAGCTGGATGGTTTGGTCGTGGAGTTGAACGATTGTTCCGAAGAACAATGAAAGCCTCATGAGCAAACCATCCAGCTCAGAGAACAACACTCCATCAAAATCATCCACCTGAGCTACAAATCTTCTCCACCATCTCAAAGTCAATAATATATTATAGAAAAATAATTTGTCATATACCGATTAACAATGAAACATTATCTCTGTTATAACTTGTAACCTGTGTATCCTGTTTATTGTATAACGTAACGATACCGCCAATTAGAGAACAGTGAGTGATCGACCGGATCAATGACTCATAAAACAAGTATGAGCAATCTAGAGGCCTTATCGGTCATGATTACCACCTCGCCCTGCCTGTTAGAATCCAGAACACCAATCTCAACCTCTGTGATATTAATCATTTATTTCAAATATACTCGGTTTATATACGAACCAGACAGATCACATCGTACCAATAAACTAGAAAACAACATTTGTACAAGATTTAGTCAAATGTGGCTGTGAATGTGGGAGATAGTAATTGATAGACAGGGAATAATTCAAGAATCGTAAATCGTATAATAATCTTACATAGGTCAAAATGAAACTCACAATAAGATGGACATGAATATGAATTTTTTGGACACCTGACAATTATACGGTAATAATATACGCATAGTACTGGTCCATAAATGGATCCCAACAGTTACTGTTCATTATACTTATCAGGACATAACAATCTCCTATCTTTTTTTGTAAATTCATGTTTACTAATACATTCTATTATGTAACAGTATTAGCTCAATTGTAATATCTTTCAATGTGTCAGTAAAAGACAAAAGAAATCAATTATTTATTAGAAGGATTTCTTATCCTAAGAAGAATTAGAGATTGTAATACAACAAATTGTTTTATAAAAACAAACTATAACCTCAAGAGTATACAAGAAATCATGGACAACTATTCAATATAAAGAACTCTTTTTTTGATGGAGTTTGGTTCTCTGACCTGGATAGTTTGGTCGTGGAGCTTCCATCGTTCTTCTGAATGACACCAACAACACAAACTACAGTTAGAAGTGAAGTGTTCAAATTTCTCCACATGTAGTTCAGAGCTTGTCCTGTACACCTTGATGTTGATTGGTTCTTGTTGACCTTGAACCTGTCATTGTTTACTTCACTTCTACCTGACGTTTGTGATGATGATGTCGTACAGAACAATGATGAAAGCTTCACGACCAAACCATCCAGATCGGAGAACAAAAACCCCATCAAAATCATCCACCTGAGCTCTAATCTTCCCCACCATCTCGAAGAAATCTCCATTAGAATGATCTGAATTCAAATAAATTTACAGAGAACTTGGTGAAAGAGAAAACCTAGATAATTTAACAATTTCCTAACAGTGTTATACTACTCAGTAGTTGAATTCATTAGTCAATTAAAGCTAAACTACCATGAAAAACCTGTAAGCACTGGACGGCCAGTCTAGTTTTAATTAACTCATGAATTCAACTATTAAACTACTAAAATCTCCACAAAACCCCCTTCTGGTTGTTTTTTCGGGTTAGCGTTTTTTCAGCAAGTTAGCCTTCTACAGGATGGGGTCGCTAACCCCTTGCCTAACCCTACTCCTTCACCCAGGTTTGGGACTGGTAGCAACCCCTGAGGGGCTCCAGGTGGAGTTCCCTTATGATTATACTACTTAGTTAACATACAAAGCATCAATTTAATATATATATATATATATATATATATATATATATATATTTCCATTGAAGAGAGGTGAAGAGAAGTGAGGATAATTTTCCAATTGATAGCTAGTAAAAACAAAATAACCGAAAGGAAAGATGAATGGTGACTAACAGTAGAATGCAGAGCGCGTGTTTCTTCCTATTCAGGACTTGTCAGCTGGATCTACTTGCATCTCAGAGTTGATTTTCACTCTGGAACTCGAACCTAGAACTATTCGCTTCAAACTCCATTGCGTTATCCACTGCTAGTCACTATTCATCTTTGCTTATCAAGCTTGTGAATTAAGGCAATATCGAAGTATTATGCACAGTATGCGTATATGCCAATAACAGACTGATCAATTGCAGTAATAAACCTCGATGGGAAGATTCAAGCCAAACAATACCAAGTGAATTTAAAATAAGCAAAAGTTGTAATGATGGCCAATCGAGGAAGAAGAAATTAAAAAAAAGACAGACTATAGAATCTAGAAATGAAGGTTAAGACCATCAAAGAATAAAAGGCTGAATATACTATTTTTGTATGCTAAGATTATGATTGAGAACTGATGGATAACAATACTTTCTAATGTAAATAAGTTTTTCAATTTCATTACACTTGAGCCGACTTTTCTAACTGTATGTATGATTTTTGTAAGAGGCTTCTGGTGAAGTGGAGTAACTAGAGTTGATTAGATACTACAAGATTTATCTTTTGATTGACTTCTATTATCCTTTAGAAAGTTTGGCAGAGTAATATTTGGAGATGAGTTTTGTAAGATTTCACTTTGTATGGCTAAAATAATCTGCTCCATATGAGCAAGTAAATTGAAAGACTCAAGTTATATTCTGACTGAGAAAGGCTCTTCTTGTACTTTCAACTAGATGATCATCCATACTTTGTTAATTTACACTCATAATGATCAATATATGTTTACACACACGTATACACACACATGTAAGATATCACTTCACAAGTTATTCTTTTCTGTTCTATCATAATTGTAATGTTATTTAGGTTTCGCAAACATGAACATGCAATTGATCAGTCTGTTATTGGCATATGTGCATACAATGAGTAGGCATCGATATTGCTTTCATTCACAAGCTTTTTGTAAGCAATGATTGATAGTGGCTAACAGTGGAATCCAGGACGCACGTTTCGTCCTATGAACATATTCAGGTGTGAAATCATTCAGGATCTAAAAACAGATGATTATTTTTTTCTTGAAAACAATCTACCTTCATTATTATTGGTAATTTAATGTGGTTAAATAATCCGTAAATTATAAGAATAATTAGATCACTACATGGATGTGTTCCCTCGGACTGAGATGAGTGTGTATGACTCTTGTAAGCGATTCATTACATAGTTTAACTTAAACTTCCACGTTATTTATATTCCAATGTAGTCCAGTCAAGATCTTTACATATTATTGTTGTATTCTTCTTCTTCTTCTTCTTCTTTGTCCAACCAATAATATTCTCATCGATTTCATTACTACATTAGTTATGCAATACACAAAACACACACAGATATTCATATTACGTTTATTTTTGAATTATAAAATCAGTGAAACTGATGTGTGTTTGAAATGATCTTCACTACTTTAGATTAAAAACTCAATTTATTGAAGATAAAAAGCCACAAACGATCACAACTTAATAAGTTTAAGTAGACACATAGGTAGAACATTTTAGATACAGGTATAATTGAAATGTAGTGATCACTGGAGTTCAATCCATGTCGGATGTGAGATAGTTGTCTACCTCACACAATAGATGATCGGTTGCGAAAGATCACGGATCGGTTAATTAATTAATGTACAAAATTATGTGACACGTCTATTATTGTCTTCGATAACATTTACTTGCTTTATAAACGTGATTAGATGGCAAGACATGATGATGATGATGATGATGATGATGATGATGATGATGATGATGATGATGATGATGATGATGATGATGATGATGATGATGATGATGATGATGATGATGATGATGATGATGATGATGATGATGATGATGATGATGATGATGATGATGATGATGATGATGATGATGATGATGATGATGATGATGATGATGATGATGATGATGATGATGATGATGATGATGATGATGATGATGATGATGATGATGATGATGATGATGATGATGATGATGATGATGATGATGATGATGATGATGATGATGATGATGATGATGATGATGATGATGATGATGATGATGATGATGATGATGATGATGATGATGATGATGATGATGATGATGATGATGATGATGATGATGATGATGATGATGATGATGATGATGATGATGATGATGATGATGATGATGATGATGATGATGATGATGATGATGATGATGATGATGATGATGATGATGATGATGATGATGATGATGATGATGATGATGATGATGATGATGATGATGATGATGATGATGATGATGATATAGTTCAGATGGATAACAAAAACTTCTTAATTATATTACTCCTATTATAGAATTTAATTCAATTAAACAAAAAATGTTTATCCTTTATTTTCATTCTTCTTTGTTTTTTCGCACAAATTTAAATATCCAAATTATTTTTCTCTTTTTTTTGGTTTGTGTGTGTGTGTGTATGTTTAAATGTTCCACATAACAAAACAACAAAATTGTTGATTAATTATTGATTCCATATGGATACATCATGGGCGTACACCAAGAAATCAACAAACAAAATTGTTAACAATTCAAGTTGGTTAAAATTTTGTTTGTTTTTTTTTGAATGAAAAAAAATTTAAAAAAATAATAATAATGAAAAAAAGAGAAAAAAATATTTTTTTGTTATTTTAAATGAAGTTTTGAATGTTCAATAAATGAGGATGTGTGTTTCAAATAATGATGAGAAAGAAAAAAGGAAGAAGTTCAATTTTAATGAGTTGAAAATATTTATTTTTTACTTTTTGTTTTTTATTTTTGATTCTTTCTTTCTTTTTTCTTCTTTTTTCTTTCTTTTTTTTATTAAAGATAAAAAAATTCTTAATTTGATAATATTGGGTCTCATTAAAAACAAAAATGAACCATTACGAAATAATATAGTTAATATAGATAGAATATATAGACATAGATTTATATGAATATATATATGAACTTTTCTTTTATTCAATCAAACTTGACCTAATATAATGAATGATGAAAGTTGAGTAATTATTATTGTATTGTTCAATTATATAGAAAAAGAAAAGAACCAAAAGTTCATAAATATTTAGGGGGGGGGGGAACACTTGATTATTAAATGAGAATAAGAATAACAAAAATGATGATGATAATGATGATGATGATGATGATGATGATGATGATGATGATGATGATGATGATGATGATGATGATGATGATGATGATGATGATGATGATGATGATGATGATGATGATGATGATGATGATGATGATGATGATAAAACTAAAGACATAATGAAACCTGTGAAAGATTATGAGTGCGCATTGTTGAAGAAACTCATACTAGGACGAAATAGTGATTCAATGATTCCATGTTTTTCATGATGATCTAGCAACAATTACCATAATTTCCACAAAACACTTCAGATAAGAAACAAGAAATGCTCAATAGTGATGGTCTCCAAAAGGTATTTTCTGGAGTTCTATTGAGAAGCAGTGACCAGTGGAGTTCAACCGGATCAGTTGTGAGATAGTCACCCATTGATGGCAATAGTGGATGTGTCGCTCAATTTTGGTGGATTAGTTGAAGTTAGAACTTAACACCATTGGATGCCGGCTAAATGGTCTAGAAGTTAGGCGTTCGCATGTGAGACCGTTATGTCCTAGGTTCGAGTCTCTCGGAGCGGGATCGTGAATGCACGCTGCTGAGGAGTCTCATAGTGGGACGGAACGGCCATCCACTGCTTCCAGATTCTTCATGGTGGCCTAGCTTTAATTGACTCATGACCTCAATTATTGAAATTAATATAATACCCACAAAACCCTCAATCTCATAATAATGTGATTATCAGAAAACATTCAAAAGTGAAAAGTTCATAGTCAACTTAAACAACTGTTTAACCCTTATTAGTTTTAAAATGGTTTTCTGATTAAAGTTGAGATATACTCCATATCAACCACATCCATCAATATTCATCGACTACGTCATCCTCATCATAATTGATAAAAGCAGATATCATTTAATCTCCAGGAAAAGAGACTGATCAATTGCAGTCTTGAACATCAATGCAAAAATTCAAACAATTAATATGTATGAATTAAAATCAATAGAGAATTAACTTTCATTCTTTATATAGACGTAGAGAGTTCATTATTTGCGTGTGGGCTGCGATACTGCCCGGGTGCCCAGACCGAAGCAGGTGGTTATCTTAGGGGGCCATGCTCCGAGCCTTTGACCTAAAGGTCTAACCCACAAGGCAGTGGAGCATCGTAAGGAGATGCAGTCACATGGTAGCCGGTGACCAACGATTGCTTCATGCGCCATTTGTTCCCGCAGGATACTGGAGCCCATGTGCACCATTGGTTCGGGATCCGGTTAAAGCGCCGGACATTCGCTTTTCGTCCTCTCATTTTCGTAAACAACACCCCCGCCACGAGAAGGCAATGAGTAGTACTTCCCTGGCAGAGGCTGTTTACGCGTGGCCGTGTAAGAGTATTTCGAGAGGGAGAGCGGACTCTCCCCACTCTCGGCCGTACCAGGGCATTTGTTTGTTTATTTAAATCTTCTCATTTATGTTAAGGGCTGCCATTAATTAGTATCTTATTGGCATACATGTTCAACTATTCATCAATGATCAGTTTTACCTTAAAATTAATATGTATAGATGTACATAAATATGCATATGTCTACTGTCCCCCCTTCCTTGTTTTATAATGTTCATAAAATCTGATTTCTTTGTCTGATTACATGAAATATCATAAAAAAACCTTTGTACCCCACAGTAAACCAAAACCAAAAAAACACAACCACAACTATAGTTGTTATTCAACAATTTACAGTTTATTACATCATCAACATCATTAGTAGTAATCATTGCTTTCAAATACATTACTTTTAAATATATAATGTGCGAATGTTGATTGAGAAGATTTATAGCTTAAGTGAACGATTTTGATGGAGTTTTGTTCTTTGAGTTGAATAGTTTGGTTGTGAAGCTTTCATCGTTTTACTGAATGACATTAATAATACAAACTTCAGATAGAGGTGAAGTGAAGTGAAGCTATGAACCATATGTGGAGATATTCGAACACTTAACTTCTACCTGAAGTTTGTGATGATGATATTGTTCAGAACGATGAGACCTCCACGACCAAACTATACAGATAAGAGAACAAAACTTTATCAAAAAGTTTAAATGTTTTATTGATTTTTGTGATGACTGCCGCCTAAATTAATGTTCATTGTTTTCAATGGCTTGATTTTAAACAATCAATTTAGACTGAGAAGGATTTGTACTAACTGGTCAAATTTCTTTTATAATTTCTTAGCCATCGAAATTCGGAATGTTTCATAATGCTTTTTTAGATTGCCAAACTATATACACTTGTTTGTGTGATATGGTGTAGACCCACTTATCATTAACATAAGTACTTTCAATTTAGTGCATGAACGTTCAACCTTTACACCACTGAGCCGACATTCAATGGTGTTATTGTCTAACTTCAATCAATCCACGAAATTGTGTTATCGTCCATCATTATCTTCCGTGAGTTATTGCCTCACAAAAAAAAGACATGTTTGAACTCTACTTCACTAAAACTGCAGGAAATGCCTCTTGGAGACCGTCACTAATGAGAATATGACGATGATGATAATCAGAAGAAGGTTTTGTGGACACTTTTTTTGTATTCTGCTTTTCTTTATTTTTTTTATTTTTTTGTTTTCATTACAACATTCTATTGAATAATTTAATTTCAATCTTCATCTGCTAACGACATTTCCATTTGAATAATTGTCGTAATGAAATTATCCAATGTAAATAATCATTTGTCTTTTTGTTTTTCTAGCTGTTTTTTTTGTTCAGAAATAAAGAAGATGGATCTTTTTATGCATGAATGAAAATTCGATTGATTTCCAATGTATGTTAGATATAAGTTATAATTTATGTATGAGGCGAACCTTAAATTGGAATTCTGAAGGGAAGTGGCAAAGTGGAAGGTTAAAGGATACATTACGTAGGGAAATAGAAGTAGATATGAAAAAGATGAATAACAACCGAAAAGAACTTAGAAGGATTGCTCCTCCACGAGGAGTAACAGGCGTAACTAAGTAAGTAATCAACTAGAAGCACACTAGTTCAAAGGATTTTTGGTATGTTATATTCAAACAAAATAATTCCATTACATTATGGCGCTCTCATCATCGATTGTACAACATTCCAACAGTGAGAGGTTAGTAAATTATTTAGATGTAGTCGATAGGGAACTCTCTATATTCTACTCAATAAATATTCACAATATAACTACAAATCAACCAAATTCAGTTGATGTATTTCATATCATATTACCTGAATTCAAGAAATAATCAAAATGCGCAAATGTGAAATAATTCTAAGATGTTGATGAGATATATACCTTTCAGAAGTCAATCTATTGATTATCACATCTTAAATTAATACCAACAATTGTTGATCAAAACATAATCTCAAATCTATTTAGATACTGAATGTCAATTTTTAAGTTGTATTATTCACAAACTGATGTCAGTAGGAGTATCAACTATATCAGGGAACACTAGACAGTTGTTTCGTCCTAGTGTGGAACCGCTTCCAAGTTTATATGCAAGAACACACCAGGGATTGAATGGTAAACCTTCAGGTATTATATATCGAATCTTTCTATGTACATCCATTCGTAAAAATTTCAATTTCCCATGTTGAATTCAGTGTCTAGACAATCTTGAATTCAACCACTAATTAGGTCATATGTTCACCCTTACGGAGCACCAGACTTAAGATGAAACATATGTTCAGTGCATCCCGAAGTTTCACTGCATTACAATAGCGTTAGTTTTGACGAATAAAAGTGATAAATTATGTCACTTAGCTAAAATATTCTAATTTCAATCAATGTCAGAAGGGGTTTTGTGGATATTACAGTAATTTCAATAGTTGAGATCATGAATCAATTGAAGCTAGACCACCATGAAAAACCTGGAAGCATTGAACGGCCGTTTCATCCTATTTGGAGACTCCTCAGCAATGCGCATCCACGATCCCGTCTCGCGACCCATCAATCTCGCGAGTGAGCGCCTAACCACTAGATCAGTAAGCCTATATCCAACGGTGTTAATGTCTAACTTCAACTAATCCACGGAATTGCGCCACTGTCCACCATTGTCTTCAGCGAGTCGATATCTCACAACAGACATGGTTGAACTCCACTGATTAGTGCTTCTCACTAGAACTCCAGGAAATACCTCTTGAAGTCAGTCACTAAGGAGCATATAATGATTATAATCAGGGAATGGTTTTGTGGATATTATAGTAAATTTTATAGTTGAGATCATGAGTCAATTAATGCTAGATCATCATGGAATACTTAGAAACGCTGGATGACTGTTACATCAAACAATGAAAGTCCGTAACCGACAACTAGCTATATGAAAAACCAGATCAATATTGACAGAAATAAACACGTTATTTTTTAGTTATTACCAAGACAAGAAAAAACATTTTCCACAATAATATCAAGTTTATTCCCACTGATAGTTATCTCATATTGTCCATTAGAAATAACAAGTAAGCAAACAAACAAACAAACAATTAACACATTTAAACGTTCTTTTAGTCTTTCTTAAGTATATTTCAGTATTCATGTCATACAAAAAAAAATACCTAATAAGGATGTTTATGATAGAAATGAATCATAACACCCTCTTGTTGTTGACATATCACAAAACTATGTTGTTTTTATCTGATGTTATTATTATTATTGTTACTATTACTGTTACTCCATCCTTTCAAAACACACTTCATATTGAAATCATGACTATCTCAGTCATGAATGAGATCTCATTATATTGATACCATTGAACAACATGGAATCGAAATTCTGGCCATTTTAAAATTTTAAGTTTTTTTTTGTTTATATACTTATATATGTGTTAGTGATTAGTTATTTCATTCCGTTTTTCCGATCTAATAGTTTCCTTATGAACTAAAATGTTAATTATTTGTTTATTTGTTTACTATTAGGAAAAAATCACTTAACTGTAAAATAAAAAGATTATCACACAAGCTAATGGCTATCTAGACTCGATAGCTAAGTGGATAATGCGATAGTGTCTGAAGTGAACAGTACTTGGTTCGAGATCCTGAGTGGACATCAACTCTGGGATGCAGGTACGTCTAACTAACGAGTTCCAAATAGGAAGAAATATGAGATCTGAATTTTACTGTTAATCATCATTTATCTTTTCTTATAATACTCATAACTCGAAGCAACATCGTGG